CGACCCTATGTACAACAGCCCTAAACTCCGCTCTGTCCTGTGCCAATCGCACTGTCTCTCACACTCCCATCCCAATTATCCCAGCCACTGAATCAATCCACCTCATAGAGGGCCTTCCTCTCCTGCGCTGTCCCTCCACCCTCTCATGCATGATGTCCCTCTCTAAGGACCGGTCTCTCCTCACATGTCTAAAGTATGTTAGACGGAGCCTCAGAATCCTTGCCTCCAAGGAGCACCCTGGTTTAACCCTTTCCAGGACAAATCTGTTTGTTTTCCTAGCAGTCCATGGTATTCTCAATACTCTTCTCCAGCACCACAGCTCAAAGGCATCAATTCTCCTTCTATCCTCCTTGGTCATTGTCCAACTCTCTGATGCATAACAAGTGATTGCGAAGACCATGGCCTGTATCAGACACACCTTAGTCTCCAGAGAGACACCATTGCTCTTCAGTACTTTGGAGAGAATAGTAAGCTTTAACTCAAACAGTACCAGAAGCTGTCAACTATGGGTAAATTTTGAACAAAGACCCTGTTTTTATGGGTTTTTTTAAAGCCCCTAAATTCACTTGGACTAATTTCAGTGCTTCTCCTCACAACTAAAATTATGTTTTATTAATAGCTGTTTCCAGTATTTTATGCATAAATGATAGGAGGCAGGAACAAAAAGCAAGTAAGGTTCAATGTTGATGAGTCCAGCTGTAATGTTAAAAGGAAACTCAGGAACAGAAATACTGATGGCCTAGTGACAGGAACCTGTGCCATAGTCCTGAAGGCACGCAGTTTGAATCCACCAGCTGCTCCACATGAGAAGAACGGGCAGTCTCCCATGCAATTAGCTGCCTCTGAAAATGCGCCAGAGGGTCAGCTATGGGTCGGTTCTGATTCTACAATGCACAACAACAGTATGACAGAGTGAACTCTGGTGGCCTAGTGGGTAAAGAGGTGCAATGCCAACCCAAAGGCAGGTGCTGTGTGGGAGAAATATGGGCAGCCTCCTCCCATGTGATTTACTGCCTCTTAAAACCCACTGGATGGTTAGCTGTGAGTCAGTTCCCATTCAACAGCAGTGAGTTTGAATGATATTTATTTAATATGAAATACTTCACATTAAAAGCCCTCAGAGACCCCATCAGAGAAACAGCCTGGAGGCGCGTGGATGGTGCCCACCACATTTCCCCGGAGATGAGATAACCTTGTCTAGTTCACGGCGCACATTGACATCTGTGGCACCTGTGCTCAAAACCATCCCATCTCATTAGGTACAACTCAGCTCATGCAGTCTAGGCAGAACCAACTCATCTGACCCGCCAGTGGGTTTTGGGATGCTGTAAATTTCACGAGAGGTGATTGCCCTTTTTTTCTCCCATGCAGCAGCTGGTGGATTAGAACCGCCAGAGAGGCACTGCCCTTGGGTTGGCAATACAGCTCACTATGGACCGTGCTACCCGTGATCCCTTGTTATATGACAGAAAGGTAAATAAAAATGGGAGGAACCCAAAAGTCCACCGGGAAACAACAAGGAACATCCAGAAGAAGCAACTTGAGGAGAAAACACAAACTCCAAGGCAGCACTCAGGGAACCCTGGAAAATGACTTCTTTTGCCTCATTCTTCCCATCATTAATTTCTTAGCTTAAAAGAACAAATGTTGATGTGCTAGAAAACAATGTGTCCCCTAACATGGAAAAGTATTAAACGTAATGGGAGAAGGCAGGCTTCATGTTTGGAAAGGCTTCACAAAAGTGACGTTATCTCTAGTATTTGAAGTTATTAAATAACCGAAATCGCAACTTGCACTGACTAGGCCTGGTTTTCCATTCTGAGTTTCTCAATCTGCCCATCCTAGACATCTCTACTGCTTGACTTTGAAATCCGTTTTGCATTAAAACCAGCCGTTAACTATATGGGCTATTTCCATAATAGAGAGGAAGGAATTGCTGTTCTGTACTCACAAGTTGGAACAGATTCATAGATGCCCAACAGTGGGTTTTCAGAGACAATAAATTGCATAGAAGGAGATTGGCCACTTTTCTTCCTCAGAGCAGCTAGTGGACTTGATCTGTATGGCAGCACAAATCCTAACCAGTAGGCCACCAGGGCTCCAGACGAGGCGGAGGAGAACCATGGAATAGATGCAAACACCTGGCTACTTTAAAGGGTTGGAACCACTTGTGTGATGGTGGGTGTTGGAAGTGAGATTCATGTAAATGCATTGGCTTTCCCCAACAAGCATCACATGTGCACCTTTGCTGTGCCATTCAGAAGCACCTATTCTAATAGGCTCCTAGGGAATGACACTAAACATGCCACATCTTGAGTTTTCATTGAAATAAAAAATGGGAGATGAAGTTATGGCATGAGACCACTTGTGGCCATTTTAATCAGAGATTTAAAGAAAATAAGACTTGTTCTGCAAACTAGTGTTATGCCAGCAAAACCACTTCTAGTCTAGCCTGCTGAACTAGCAAGAAGAGTAAACATGAAGTCTAGCGTCCAGTCTTCATTCTCAGTGGAATATTCCGGTCATAGACGAGGCTGGTCCTTGGAAGGTCCCTGTGCCCAGCTCTGGGAGCACATTTCTGCCTCCACCAGGTCCCAGAAACATGGGTGGTTTGCATAAGTAACCGCAGCCTCAGGCTTCTGAACCACAAAGGCAGATGAGGGGGCCAGTTGTTTGTAGATCATAATATTAATGGAAATCTCTCTTGATATTTGTTTAATTTAAATTTGTATGTATTTTTTAAGTCTTCAGAAAGCTAAAGGCAACATAGTCACCCACCATGAAAAGGGGTATTTTTTAGTAACTTGAAAGGATTCTGTGAAAAGTATGGGTGTTTTTACGGTTTGTCATGAAAAGTAATTCAGAAATAACTCTTGGAGCAGAAACATTTTGAAGACCTGTAAGCAAGCAAAGACTTGAGCTTTTTCTAACGTGCTCCATCTGCAAAATGAAAGTGGGGCAGCGAGTGTGTGTGTGTGTGTGGGCTTGTGGAGCTGTGAAATGTTTCATCGTCTGTACCTGTGCTAGTAGATTTTGTTGAGTGTGAATTCCTTCCCATACAAAGAGTTATAAATGTTCTTTATCTAGAAATCTGGTCACCATGACACTAAAGGTGACATGCTGTCTGAAGTGTGTCCATCACTTGTCCTGCCTGGCTTCTTGGGCCATCTGCAGGTGTGGCCGATGCCCTGCCTCTCCCAGCAGGTTCCACGTGGGTCTGTAGAGCTTCCAGTGACAACTCTAAAATTCCGTGTGTGATCCTTACCTAGGATTTCTTCACTGCATTTTACTGAAAGAAGAAAGAGTGAGTGTAGGGGTGATGAACTTCCTTTTCCGTAAGACCTTGGCGTGGGCAAAGCAGTGGACCCACTTCCGTTTGAGCCCCTCCCCAGCTTACTCTCTTCCACTCCACCCAGATGCTCAGCTGCTCTCCGTTCTGTGATAGCCATCCTTTTTGTATGTCTCCTTATCGTCTCTCTGTTGGAACTGTCATCTGCTTTGGTTTTCATTCCTGTGGGAATCTAAGTTTCTCCCTTGATGTCTCCAGACACTTCCGTGCCTAGCTTGGGATAGAATTCCTTCCGCTTTCTCATCTTCACTTCTTGGAGGCCTGCTGTTAACAGTAACCTGCATGATCTGTCGCGACCTTGGTGGCTGGCTCTGGTGAATGACAATTCAGCACACAGGGCAGGTGTTGGCTCCTGCCAAGTATTTCTTATACAGTTCCAGCGGAAGACCGGCAAACACTTGGTCGCTGTGGTTGTGTCAGCGAGAGAGCCACTCAGAGCCACGTGAGATAGGTCCCTGATGAACACCTTGGGTTCAGCTTCACTGCTTCTCGTCAGCGGCCTCCTTGTGCATGTGGGTTCCTCACACATGCCCCTTCCTTCACTTCCTGACTGTCTATTCTGTGACCACGGCAGCCCAGCCTCTCATACCACATTTTGAAAGCAGTGGCTTGAAGTCTGAATGGAAGGCTGGAGGGGTAGACTCTGCATATCCTCAGGGGAAAGTCCCTGTCTCTTTTATATTTTCCAAAATAGCCTTTCTAATACTGAGTGATATCCGGTCTTTCCAGAGGCATTAAAATGGAATGAATCGTGAAGCTATCATCTCAAAATAATCTTTAAGCCTTAAACCAAAAAAATTCACTTGGAATCTTCTTCAAACCAAATTGTTTCACTTAAAGAAAAGAATGTCTGTCTTAAGCATATAAGCAGTCTGTAAGCAGTCTGTAAGCAGTCTGTTCTGGAGAAAGTGCAGCCAAGGTGCTCTTTAGAGCAAGGATGGTGAAATTTTGTCTTGCATACTTTGGGCATGCTGTCAGGAGGGGCCAGTCCTTGGAAGAAGACTTCGTGCTGAGAAAGGTAGAGGGTCAGTGATAGAGTGAGAATCTCAAGGAGCTGGGACACCACAGTGACTACAGCAATGGGCCTGCACGTCTTGGAAATGGTTAGGGTGATGCAGGATAGGACAGGGTTCAAATCTCTTGTCCATAGGGTCACTGTGAGTGGTAGCCAGCTCAAGGGCACATAGCAACATACGACAGTCCACTGACAGTAACAACTCCAGTGATTTGATAGCAAGACAGGAATTTTAGGATTTATGTTAGTTGCAGAGGAATTGGTCAGAAAAGGAGAGCAAGAATGTCTGTGCAACCAGAGTGTTTGTTCAAGTGGATACTTAAGTTGGTGTTCTTTTGCTGAATGTATTCTCAAGAAAAACAAAGAATACATTTTTTAAATGCAAATTAAAGAGAAAAGAATGTGAAGAGTTCGGAGACAAACCCAAAATGGGAAGAGACATGATATATTAGCACCCCAGGGCCATATTAATAAGAAAAACAAAACACTACCATGGAGATAAGTGGAAGAAAAGACCTGAGAAGTAAGACACAAAAGATGCCTAAATGGTGAACAAGCATGGGAAAAGGTGTGCAATTTCATTAGTAAATAGAAATGTAAATGAGATGTCATTCCACACCCACGGGGTTGGCAAAAATGTTCAAGTCTGACGATGACAAGTGTCCAGAGGAGGAGATGGAGCAACAGGAACTGACAGCCCGTGGGTGGGGGTGTAAATTGATCTGATCACTGGAAAACAGTGGGCATTGTTGAGTGCAAAGGAAAACAGTACCTACCCTGGGCAGCAATTCCGTTCCCACCTGCCCACAGCAGATTGGACACCACAGCAAATATCTACGGCAGTGGTGTGTACACTGGTTGTATGGCCCCCCCCCACCATAAAGCAAGCTAAAAGCTACAGGAACTACAGCAGATAAGCAGGGTGGGCATCCACTTATTGGAGTGCCTCATATCCGAGGAAATGGACAAACAGCTAAAGGTTTTCATGGAGACTATACCGTAAATGACACGGCGGCTCTCAGGTGTGGCCTGGTTGTGTGCTGGCTCAGGTCGAGCGGTGCTCCCTTCAGTGGTCCACCGGCTGCTGAGTGAGAGCTGGCCGGTCGCCACCTAACACCAGCAGCAATTCATGTAAAGTGAAAAGTAAATTCTGGGTTAGGGATCTCTGTGTAAAACAAGGAAACATTTGTTACAGAAGTCAGTAGTGGTCCCCTGGCAGGGAGAGATGAGGGCTCGGGTCTGAGTGGCAGTTTCCGGCTGTGTGGTAGAGCTAGGTGTTATCATTTGTTAGCCGGAAGTATGTGTATTCTTAACCTAACATATGTGTATTCTTCCTGGTTTGTTTTTTTTTTGTATGTAGCTACATCTGAGAATAAAAGGAGGAGAAAGGGAAATGCAAAATGAAGTGGGGAACAGGGTGATCGTAAACTGGAGACCATCCTCCTTGGTAGTAGTGATGTGGGGGCCTTCACATGGGTATGGAACCTGGGAACAGCTCCCCTGGGAAGCCACAGGTCACCTCCCGGCTCAGTCGTGGTGGACCTGATCCTGAGTTTAGACATTTCTACATTTGTGATGTTTTCTTGGACGCTCCCGTGGAGTCCCCTTAGCCGTGCTGTCACCCAGGCCTGTGTGTTTAGGAAGGAGCTGGGCAGGCCAATGCTCTGCAGGACCATGATGGTGCCCACGTGGGTGCCTGCAGCTCCCCTCCCCTCCCCAGCTCCGGCCTGGCTAAGTCCCGCAGGAGGCAGGACGTGCTGGCTGCTCTGCTCATCACTCGCCCTTCCCAAGCTCACCCACAGCCTTTGTCTCTGAAGGGCTGGGACCTGCCTTCTTGCCTCTCCCAGGGGATGGGCAGGGCTGTGAGGTTAGCAAGCCATTTTTATCTGAGTTCCACAGTGCATCCCACACAGGTACCTGGATCAGTCCTGGGGCATTGGGGGACAAAGGGCATCTAGAATATGCTGCCTCTCTAAGATCCGACCTTAATCCGGACAGCAGGACAAAGGACGGGATTAGGGCCTGGAAGACACAGGTGGTGAGGAGGCACCCTGTGGGCATAATGGGTTATGTGCTTGGGTGCTAACTGAAAAGTTGGCAGTTTGAACTCACCAGCCACCCCGTGGGAGAAAGATGAGATAGTCAGCTCTTGTAACAATTTAAAGACCCTGTGGGCCAGTTCTCTTCAATCCTATAAGGTAACATTAGTCAGAGGGGACTCAACAGCAGTGGGTCTTTTGGGGGGAAGATGAAGAGATTGGGACCCACAAGCCAGATTGCCTCAGTGTGAACCCAGCAGCAGTGGTTGGTGTCATCACCACTCCCACCATGGGCCTGCCCCCCACCCCCGTACCAGACCATACGGAAGCCATTATTGTTGTCAGATGCTGTCAAGTCAATCACATCTCACTGAGACTCTGTGAACAATGGATTTGAACCTTGCGCTATCCTGTGCCATCTTCATCATCTGTGATATACTCAAGCCTGCTTTTACAATCACTGTATGGGTCCATCTAGTCGAGGGTCTTCCCGTCTTTCACTAACCTTCCACTTTTCCAAGCATGATGTGGGTTTTCCCAGGAATGTTCCTTCTTAAAAACATGCCCATGCACACCCATGTTTATTGCAGCTTTGTTCACAATAGCAAGGAGTTGGAAACAACCTAAGTGCCCATCAACAAACGAATGGCTAGAGAAGCTGTGGTAT